CAGGAATTGAAAACGAGACGTTTTTGTTGACATTGTTTGATCCTATCAATTGAGACAAACGTTATTGGCTGAGATTTTTCAACAATAGATTTGATATCCAAACACAGCTACCTATTGCTTCATACAGTGAAACCATAGCCACTGGCATTGATCATTGTCAGTAGTTTAAATTATCAACTCTTTTTATCAAAAGAGCATACACATTCAGCATAAATTACCAACTCCATTTTTATGAAAAAAGCATATACATTCTGCATAAATATTCAACTATTACTATCAAAAAAGCATATACATTCAGTATAAATTATCAACTCTTTTGCGTACTGTGCACGCACGAAATAACCCGTTACAAAGGAAATTCTAGAGTGAGATCAAACGAATCGGCCAGAGAGGCACCACCGCGAAAACTGCACGTCTAAGAACACGGTTAAATTAAAGAGGACAAGAGCACAATTAAGTAAAGCAATCACAAACTCTATCAATATCATAATCAAATTATACAGATAATATCCAATTGAGAAAACATCGAATCATAATAAATAAATAACAAATAATATAATTGTGGAAGAAAAGTTGAAGTACCGTTGTGCAGTGGCAAGGGGAACTCGGTCCAACACTCAGGCCGCGCAGAAATCTCCTTCACGAAACGAAGGACGTCGTCGGTGGTTCCAGGCACGGCATCGTCGTCGCTTCGGCGTTGATCGGACTCCAACTGCAGCAACTGAGAGGCGAACTTGGAGATTCCGGAGACGGCTTTGTTGGAGGAAATGAGCGAGAGAGAGTTCTTGAAGCTTCCGCCGATCTCCACGAGATCGTTGCGGATTCCGGTGAGAGCTTGCGAGGAGGAGGAATCGGCGGCGGAGGAAGAGGAGGAAGGCGGCGGAGCGAGGAAGTTGGCGACGCCGCGGAAAATATGCGATATGTCGTCCTTGACGGCGTGGCGATCGGCGGAGGGGATAACGCTGCGGTGGAGGTCCGAAGATTGGGGGTCTGGCTCGTTGGACTTGAACAGCCACGACATCTTTTTCTTTTTAATTTCTATTATTCCTCTTTTCCAATAATTATAAGTATTTGTGCTGAATGCTAATTGTGACTTGTGACTTGTGACTTGTGACTTGTCAGGATTCAAACCTTCAAACTTTAAAGGGTTTAGGAAGAACCGCCTCACAACATCTTCATTCTTCACCTCCAAAATTATATTTAATTCCAAACTAGTATTTTTTAGAGTTGTTATTTTTCCCCTGAAAATAATTTTATTAAATAATAGATCCTAATATTTTCCTCTTTTTAAATAACTATTTTAACTTATAGAAGATTATAAGGAATCGGTGTAACGTATAAGAAAGAAAGTTTTTTGGTAGTGGGATTAGGAAGGTGTTGGGGTTATTATTTAGAGTGATAAATTGATAAGGTGAAGAAATTGTAAATAGAGATTACGTAAAAGGTAAAGTTGGTTGAGAAGATGAAATAGAAACGATAACAATCAGGGAAACCGTAAATCCGAATGCACGTAATCATAAGGCGTGTTGACCTCTTCTTTCTTTGACCTTCCTTCACCCTCGTGTCAAAATAAATTCCATTTGGTTTTTATTGCGATCACAATCACTTACATCAAAAGCGTTTTACAAAATACTTCACTTCAAAATTACATCATGTATTTTTACCTGCACTTTAAATTACATCATTGTACATATTTAATAATTGTATTTCTTAAATTATTGGATGCAAAATAAATCCAGCTTATTCCAAAAAAAAATCATAATAAAATAATACAGCAGACTTGAAAAGACAATCCATTAATAATTCGCTCTTTGTTGCAATACATCAACATTTCAGAATTAATAAAGGGACCCCTTATTATTCTGTTTGTTTCTAGTTCTACATAAATATTTTCTTTACTACCATGGAGAAAACAAATTTTGTTTGGCGTATTCATGGAGAGAAAAAATAATATAATAGCCACAAGAAAATAAAACACAGATAAATATACCAAAATAAAATAGTAAGCTTCAGGGAGAAATATATGCGGTCGTGCGCGGACGAATAGCTTATACATTAAAAAAAATAATATTGATTTTAAATACCAAGAATATTTGATAAATAAAATATTAAAACTTTCTGCAAACAAATCTCATTCGTTTGCTACTATCATGACTACTTTTTGTTTTTAATCTAAAGCATTTCCGGGTAAGTCGCTTTAAGTTGTCAATTTTATCAACAAGTTATAAATGGTATGACTTTTAATTAGTTATCGATTTTACCTTCTTTTCAAAATTGACGTCTTTAAAATATTGAATGCATTTATTTAAAAAATATTAATATTTTGTTTTTGACATAAAATAATATTAATACTAAAATATCATACTTTGAAAAATAATTATAGCAAGTGTAACCAGATACACCTTCTCATTATAATTAAATTATTAGTATGTTTAAAAATATTATATTTTATATCCATAATTTTATATATTGAACTTATTTATATTTTATTGTTTAAATATGATGATAATGATTATTAATTTTAATTTTTTAAAAAAATTGCCATCACTATGCTGAGGAACAGTGAATGGTAACACCATATCACACTATTGATTCCTTTAACAACGATTTCCCCGAGTGACTTGGAACATTATCAGTGGCAAAGAAATACAAAATGGAGCACACAGAAGCCTGAAATTTTAAATTTGCGAAGGAAACACAAATTATACCTTAATTAGTTTGAGCAAATGAGGGAAAATATATTGCTAGTTCACAACTTCTATCGGTCTTAGTTCACTCGTCGAGAAGAGAAAAATGAATATAGATGAAATACTTACATAAACGTCTTACAGAGTAAGTTGAATAACACATGGCAATGAAGAAAAAATTGTTCCTCAAACCAAAATGACTCATTTATTAGACTTGACGTATTTTCATCGAACAAATTGTATAACAATCACATAATGAATATACTTCCCCACCATATACAGGAAATGGCAACTGAGAACAATATAGTCCAATATATCAAGAACAAATTTTCTGCTAAAGCGTTGAAGTAATCAACCAGGGACAAAAGAAACTAAGAGGTTTGAATCAAAGCTCGTTAATTAACCTTGTACATAAAAAATCATATAATCAAAACCCTCCCTCCGCTAATTATTCAAAAAGAATTTCACTCTAGCTAACTATGGCACACACACAACGTATGATACAAGTCTATTCTTCTTCACGTTTCCCAATCTCAGAACCAAAGGCTGAGAGTATCCATTTGTTTTTTCCTTGAGCTTATTAAGGATTTGTTTTCCACATGAAATGGCTAGATGAGACCTGTATATGGATTGTATGATTGAACAGGCATACCTGGGCCGTAGGGGTGGACAGTGGCGGCTCCATAAGGATTTCCGAAAGGATTTCCAGATTGTTGTTGTGGGGGCATCATCATCATTTGCTGCTGCTGTTGGAACATGAAAGCTTGCTGCTGGTTGGACATAGCAGCCATCTGAACAGAATGTGGAGCGGCAACGGTATTAGAGGTGAAAAATGGATCATGCATTGTTGGTTGCATCATGTTTCCACCTGGTGCTGGCTCCCATGGATTGTAGCTGACATTTTGGTTGTTTCTCCGGAGTGCATCGTCGTATAGGCTGTCTAGTGTAAGCTTGTCCAAACCTCCAGCCTGATTACCAAGCAGTTCACCACTCATTATTAGAATAACAAAAACGTGGGTGCATCCAAAGTATTTTTGTCTGTGTTTATGCAGAGATGCATAACATGTGAGCTAACTGAGCAGTCAACTTATTGTAGAAGAAAGCATACCAGTTTGCTAGCTGTGGTAGCACTCTCATTTGAACTAGGAGCAGTAACAAGTGCCAATTCCCATCCTGTAGTTCCATTTGCTTGATTTGAAACAGCAGAAGGTTGTTGTTCAACAGCTGAAAACCACCATTAACATGAAATCATTTAAATTGACGCCAAGACATATACTTACTTCTATTCTACATATTAAATTTCAAAAGGAGCAGTCTAGTCTTAACTGCCAACAAAGTGCAGAAAAAGGAAAACACTGGGAGTATAACTCCCATGATTAGCCACTAAATAGGTTAAAGCCAAATAATATGAAGCATTACTCTTCTTGAAAAGAAAACCAGTTCAGTCCAATTTTACGAACCAATTATTACTCGGTTATTTTTGAAGGTTGACAAGTGCTTTTATTCCAATGTATTAAACAAAATGGAGGGAAAGGAAGAACAAATTACCAACGGGAACAATGGCTAAAGCCAATGCATTCTTCTCATCCAACTCTGAAGCAGCTGGAGCAGGATCCTCCAAATTCTAATTTAGTAAGCCAAAATATGAGAAATTTGTGAGTGCAGCTTAAGCAAAGTTGTTGTAGAGAAAGCACCACAACTAGATCCAGCTAGTGATCAAAATTATACCAAAAACAAGAAAAGCGCACACACACGAAAGAAAAAAAGTAATTACCAACAGATCAGGTGGTGGTTGTACTGGTGGTGCTTCCACTTTAACAGGTTCAGAAGGTGGAGCGGGAGGGGGTGAGGGGGAGGGGGAGGGTGAGGGTGGACGTTCCTCTTGCACTTCTGTTGTCTTTTTGTATTCAATAGCCAAAACTTCTTTGTTTTCAATAGCCTGCATTTAGTTAAACATGGAAGCACTGATTGGTAAAATATATTTATATGGCATACAAATATTGCATTTCATTGATATAGAAGAAACATCCGTAAGTTAAAGGTTTACAACAACACAACTTGCTGAAACAAATGAAAGGGGAAACAGAGCGCAGATGACAAACACATGCAGCAAAAATACTAATATTATTGTCTATACAAATATATGAAATTTATTGCTGAAAAGACAGGTACTTGCCAAAAAATAGCATGTAAAATCATCATTAAATGTTCCGTAAGGTAATGGAAGATATTCCAAAATGTTTTGATGGGCCAAATAATATAACCCCTCAAAGAACTTGATGGAAACAAGTATAATGTATTAACTTCGAATTTTCAGTATATACCAACTTGCCAGATTGCAACAATGGTTAAACCACTTTTTTTCATAAAGATAATGCAACTTTCAGTAGCAAATATACCAATATTCTTAGCTAGTAGATAGCTAACATGGTCTTCCCTGGTTCCATTTGTGCCTACTGTGTCAACTAGATGTGTATGATTGCATCCATAACATAAAGCCACAGTGACCACCACCATAACATAAAACACAGTTCTTCAATGTTCATCCATACCTGATCCTTGCGAACTATTGGTCCCTGTGGAGCATCTTTGACATACTCTTCCATGGCTTGCAGAAATGACAAAGGGGGCTTCATATCATCAAATAGTAAACTGTTAGTATATATTTCCAAAGAATAAAAACTGAAAAGTCAAACTAAAATGTCATTGGCATAAACAAGCATGATATAAGATCCAACTAACCTGCTCAACTTTAATAAACTTCTCTCCCCGTCCAATATCAAGATTACGGCATATTTCATAAAATTCTGACAGTCTCTCAGCCTGGATTCATGTAAAGAATCTGTAACATAACTGGATAGATAAAGTTAAGAATACAAAAGAAAATTTTGACATTTGAGATACCTGCTGCCCAACCCTCCTGTATATATCAAGAGCTTTCAAAGCATCATCCCGTTGCATCTCAAAAAACTGTCACAATAGCCTCGTAAATACATAAATGCTGAACATAAAGGTTCAAATCCATGAAGATAACAATATATACCTTATCAACCATATTGACTGTGCCATCACTAATAGCTTGATAAATTTTAATGCTTTCCGAAGCAACCTATTTGCAGTATAAAGTGTGTTCAGAAAGGTGGTGAAGCAAAATCTCCTTAAGAATATGGTTAAATAATTGACTTACCATTGAGAGTGCTAACTGAATGACAAAGTTATTTACAGCTGCCCCTTGTGGCTGCACCAAATAAAAGTTAAAAGGAGTTGTATAATTATGATGCTTCTGACATTGTAAAATGTGTTCATCAAATCAAACCCACCCGATTTGTGAAGTGTTCAGATAAAAATTCCACCAATCTTAAAAAATTTTGGATCAAAAGCTCACCTGGCAACCAATAACACGGAAGAGAAGTTGTTGTAAAGATGGCAACTGCTGTAACAGTTCTGCAGTATCCAGATCTTTGGTCCTCTGTGACAAAATTCACAATAGGTGAAGTTTCCTAATTCAAATGATCGTACATATGTATGCATGTAATGAGATAGCAACAACAACTCTGAATATTATTATTATTACTGAAAAGTATTCCTTAATAAATAATATGCAGATAATTCAACTACTCATGTTGAAGTTAAAATTCTGAATTCTTAATCGGTAAGTTTATGAAAATGATTAAAAAATACTTACAGGACGGTCTGCCTCAATGTCATACTTCAGCACACGAAAACATTCCAACCTTTCCTCTAAAAACAATGCATAAGTGCGGACCCATGCAGAATAATCCCATGCTGAGCAATAAAACAATGAAAGACAATTGCAAAGTCAATAAACATAATAAAGATAATAAAATCAATGGAGGGAAAGGCAAAGGTACCATTTGGACTGGAATCATCTTTAAAATGAGCCATGTTGAGCATATGACTTCTACTTCTCCCATAATTAATGAGTTCTTCATGAAATGTAGGATCCACTTCCCTTAGAGCACGGTGAATCACAATTAAAGTTTTCAGTGCAACCTAGATATAAACCACTTGTTAATCAACCAAATAGAAGCAAAGACAACTGAAGAATTACATGAAAACTACTGGAGTTGCCAAGACAACTGAAGAATTACATGAGAACTAGAGAAGTTTACAAGCAAATATAGTGCACACAAATATTGTAGCTTCACTGCAAGATGAAATAATTTGTTTTTTCAATAATACTGATAGTCATGAAGAACATTCTTGGTGGACTTCTGTTAACAATGTTATCTGGATATTCTTCTATGTCCCATTTGTATTAGACCATAAGTTGACAACTCAGTGGCAGAACTTGAATAAGAAATTTGGAGGTGCCAAAGTAATTTTTTATATATATAAATTAAATTTTTTACTAATTATAAAAATAATAAAAAATTTAATTTTCTTTATTCAATTTTTTAAATTTTATTACAATTAATAATATGATAATATACAAATATAATATATATATATATATAAAATAATTTTGAAAAGTTTGGGCGAGCCACAGTCACAACGAAGTTCCGCCCTTGGCTGACAATTTAAGATCATGCACACAATCACCAGAAGAGAGGGAGATGATAATTCAGAAATATGACTTATGAACGTAATTTTTCACTTCATCTGTTCATCAACACAGGCAACAAAGAAACTAGGCAAACAGATAACAAATTCATAAAAGCTTCATCACACATCCCAGGTCCTTGAGTTAAACACTGAAAAATATTTGTCCATATAAAATAACTCAGATCACAAAGATAACCAGCCATATTTTGCACAAGATCTAAGACATGAAGCACACACCGCCCAGTTATGCGTCTTTGATAAACGTCGTGCAAGAGCATGGATGCAATAGGCAACATCGGCCCTAGGTCTTGTAGCTGAGATAGCTGCAAATATAGCTGCAAAAGAGAGCAAAGAAAACTTGGAATCAAATCCTTTACTTATCCAACAAATTTTCCTCCTAAAATCTACGAATCATTAATGAATAGCAGACAAACAATCCCAAGTAAAGGGAGAAAACAAACCTCTTATGTGTTTTTCCTTTGCAGGACGTTCAACATGATTTGTGGCTCTAACTATAGCAATGTCCAATTCCTGGAACACAACAAACCCATTGAGAACAAACACAAAACCCCTGATCCAGTGATCCCATCCAACAGAGTCCAAGACCAAACTACTCTACCTTGTAATCACTGTTGACCTTAGCCAACGAGACCGTTGTGGTGTCCTTAAGGGCTCCAAGTGCTTTTCTCAGACTCTTCTGCGTGCCACCCGACATCCTCTCTCTCACTCAACTACAAAATTCAGTCAAAACTCAAAAAAACAAGATCTCGTCCATTCCAAAACCCCACCCCTTTCATTATTGTAAAATTAACCCATCTGATACCAAACACAGTTCTTATTTTTTTAATCAAGTGTAAGTAATGAACATCTCTTAAATTAACTCGATAAAGCAGTTGATGTATTAGTATACTCAGATCCAACTAAGGAAAGAACCCTCACCGACAAAAGAACAACCCTCAGGAACTGAATAACATCATCCAGAAAATAACAACCGAACAAGCATCTAAATTAAAGAGAGGAAATGAAGAAGAAGGGAGACATAACAACCAAACGCGGCCTTACAATGATTTAAAAAAACAAAAAGCAAGGCATTGTTGAGATTGAGGAAAGGTGGGCTCACAGAATTTAGCAGCAAGGGAATCGAATCAGGTTGGAGAAGAGGAAGCGCAAGTAGAGAAGTGCTTCACAAACACAAAAGCAAAAGCACGATCTGCGGTTAGAACTGGATTTAGCTGAAGCTGAATCGAAGAGAGAGTGGCGTGGTGTGCCTCTGAGAGAGAGAGAGAGAGAGAGAGAGAGAGAGAGAGAGAGAGAAAAGTCGACAGACAATATAGGCTTGGTTTGGTTGGTCGTCGGCGTCTCTGACGTTAATTTTTTTATTTTTAATATTATATTATTGTTGGAACAAAGAAAAACAAAATTAAAAAATGAATAGCTTAATCTCGGTGTCAGAAATACGGTTTTGTAAGAAGGTGTACTGCACCGTGGTTAAATTGGGATTTGATCCCCTGCTTTTGTCTCTACCTTCTCTATTCTTGGTCTCTTCTGCCACCTAAATACTTTTCTTTTACTCTCCAAAATTCTTCACATTCCTATCATATTATTTTATTAATACAATCTATTCGGTACTTTTATTTTACTAATTACTATTTTAACACATCTATTACATCCATTTTTATTTTATATAACTATAATTTATAATATATAAATTATATTATAATTAAAATTTATAATGAAAAATTGAAAATAAATAATTTTAACATATAAGTTATGATATTTTAAATTTATAATAAATAATTTATATTATAATATAAAGTGTCTATAGAGTTTAACTCATGGTTAAACAATATATGAGTTGTTAAAAACTTTTTTAATTGAGATTATTTTGATTGATAAAAAGTAATGCAAGATTTTCTTTAATTGTTAATAACTTTTTAAAAATTAAAAAAAAATTAAAAGAGAAGTTAAAAAAAATCACTATCTTTAAAAAGACAGGTAAAAATGTTGTGTGTCCACATTTTTATTGTACCAAATTTATATTTTTATTATATTGAACTGTATACCGACTTTGGTGTAATATTTCCAAACTATACATTTTATTTATTGTTTATAATTTTATTTTACTTTAGTTGTAATTCCATTCTTTTAGGGTTGGAACTCGCTGGTATTGTTAATTTCTATTTTTGGAAAAGAATGATGCTATATATTTCAAAACAAAATAACAGAATCATCTTCTGGATTAACAAATAAAAGACACTTGTCAAAAATTTTAAAATATAATACTTATTTATATATGTCAATTTTTTTCGATTATTGTGTTAGGAGGATTCAACATTTTCTTTTGGAAAAATATTGTGGTGAGCTTTAATATTTGCATAATAGCTCGAGTAATTAAATTTAAATTCGAAAAGAATAAAAGCTTAAATTACTACCAATATATTTAAGAGCATCTCTAATTAGAAACAACCCCTGTACTATATTATTGTTACATCAGCTTTGACTCACTTTATGAGTTGTTTAAATTTTAGTAAAGTTATTTTTATAAACAATTTTACTAAAATTTAAGCGACCTATAAAGTGAGGCAGAACTGATTAACAATAATGTAATATAAAAAGTTGCTTATAAACACACCACCCATTTCAGGTGCCGTAAGAAGTTGATATGTTGGTGGATTACGGTTTTTGGGTGGTCGCAGTTTATAGAAATGTGTGTATAGTATATAATGGACGGCAACAGGGACAGACACCGTCTTACATTAGCAATTCATCTTTTTAATTCTTAAATTTATAATATGCGCCGTGTTTTAATATTAGAATAATTATACTTATTTGGGGATATTAAAGTGTCATTTTTTTATTTTTGATAATATTTTTATTTCTTTATATAGTCTTTAATGTAAAGAGATAAACATCAAAATTTTCTTTTTTCTTTTAATTTTATTATGGAGGTAATTGAATCTTTTCACAAAATTTTCTAGCATCACTTATTTTTTTAACACTTTTTTAAATACATTTTTACTATTTTAAGTATTAGAAATTATATTGCATTTACCTTCTGATTATACGTCATTCTCTTAAATATTCAAATAAAATCTTTATCAACTATAGTAATTGAAAATATTATATTTAGTAAAGATATATATTTTCTATATAAAAATATTATATTAATTATTCATATTGATTTAATTATAATTATTACATAATTAAAGATTTTTTGAATACTTGTCAATGTGACAAATTTAACGGATATATTGATAGGTTGAGTTTGAAGACACAATACAAGAAACTCTCGCAAATATTCTTTCTTAACCTTTTAACTTCAGAACATAATAATAGGATTTTTCTTAAAAAATTATGATTAACATAAATATTAATTCTTATTATAAATTTATAAATAAAAAATTTATAGCATGCAAAAATAATTTAATTATTAGAGTTTAAGTGTGAATAAAGTCTCACATCGATTAAAGTTAAACATATTGAATAATATATAATTAATAAAAACTTATCAACTTAATATTTTAAAGATTTTTGGTTATGAATGATGTCAAGTTCACTTGTATAATTTACTAATTACTCATTGAAGCGCCTCTAATGTAAAACTCTTCAATAATAATATCAGAAGAGTATTAGTCAAAAGAAATGGAATTAACAATATAAAGACTATTTTTGTATTAAAAGAGAGCATGACCATATGGAAGAGATTCAAATTTAAAAAGAGAGCAGATTTTAAAACAAATATATTTAATTTGTTTGATACATAAATTTTCAACTAATATTTTAATACATCACTAGTGTAGTTAATATTTCAAAATAAATTACAAATATGTTTATTAAGTGAATTTTAATTTTTATGATTGGGGTCTATTATCTAAGGATGATCATCCATCCCAAGTTGGCGATAACATGGCCGAATTGAAGCTCTCTAGTGATGATGGCAAAAAGAATACCGACAAGGACAAGGACCAGACGATGCCAGCAAAGACATTATATATTACTAATGAAAATAGTGATCAAAAAATGCAAGCTAGCTAGCAGAGACAATGATTGAAGGATGGTAATGACAATTGTAATAAGATAAAATCAAATAACGATGGTTAAAAGATGTTAGCAATAAGTAGCAACAACAATGATTATATAATGGCGCCGTCAACATGCATGCATGACCAGCATTGGTAAACTTTAATGTTGCTAAAGTATGCCAACAACATAGAATCTATGGTTAGAAGCATGCAACAATTGAGCATGAATAACGTTTAGACCGAAACATTTGTAAGTTTCTAAAGCAAATCCTTCTCTTAATTGGAAAGGAACTGAAAATCGAGTGGAAGTACAAATATTGCAGGTGGGGTTGATTGATAAAATCTCCTAACCAACTACGTACCCTTGGGACAATTAAACCTCATGTCACACCCAACCTCCAATTATGTTATGGGGACATTTAAACTCATTTTTTATGGCATGGATTAACAATATGGTTGATAAGGTGCTACCGTGCAAGCATAGGTATTGATGAATATTTATAGGACTTTCAAGTACAAGTTCAATTCCTCTCATTGCTTGGAACTAATGGGGTAAATTAAGGACTGCATGCGTTGCATGAGCCTCAACCTTGCTTTTCACGTATGTTTCAAAATGACCATGAGCTAGAAAAGTTTAATTACTATCCAAACTTTGTGTCTGAATCGAGGCATTTGATTTATAAAATAAAAAAAAAATTAAATATCTAGCTAACATCAAGACTATACATTATTGATTTCGTTTATAAATAAATGTCTTTGTTTGAATGTTATAAAATACGATCATTTGATTTTTGTTCATGTAAGTTCATCGCACTAACCTAGCTTAAGAAACTAAAGAGGTGGGTGAAAATGTCTCTCTACTTTGAACTTCCTCTGTTTATGCTATGCGGGGTCTTTATTAGAGCCAAATATTTCAGAATTATGAGCCCAAATATAGAAGTAATTACTGCAAGAGCTGAATTGCCTAGGATACCTGAGATTTTGGTGGTCACAGGGACTCATAATGGTCATAATAATTATGCATAGAAACTTCTTGCTAGTAAACACTGAGAAAGAAAATAGAAGAGAAAAGTATAAATATACATAATACGATGTTAAGATGAGAGAAATGATAAGAATCAATAGGTTATTTGCTCGACTAAGTGTTATTGGAATTTTACTATGTTAAATTGAATGCCAATTAACTTCTATTTTTTCTCTCTTTACCTTTGTCGAGTTTTCTATTTATAAGACTTCAAATAAAATATATATATATAGACATAATATATCTTCCGTGATGTATGTGTTCCGACTAGTACGGGTTAGCATTTTGCAAGATCACAGAGTTGATTGATGATTGCATAATAATTGAAGGGGAGAAAAAATTAATGTGATGCATAATTGAGATTTGGGCACCTTAGGACCTTTGGCACTCTATTTGGGGCAAGGAGTTTAATGGTGGTAGGTTCTATTAATATTTATCTCCCTCTTCCAGCTAAGAACTGCAATTCATTTTGTTTAAATTACTCTAACAAGGTCCCTTGCCTACAAAATCACCAGGTGGGTCCATAAGCCCCTAAGAACTAGGCTTGGAAAAATGCAAGAGCTTAATTAAAGCTGTCAGAAATATTGGTGAGTTCAATTTTATTTCAAAATATATTTCAATTTTGATTTTGCATGAAAAAGATATTTAATTACTCAAATTTGGTTGAATGTTAACACTGATCTGATTTTAGTTTTAAAATGACTACTTTAATTTTATTAATTAAGCCTTTGAACAGTAATTAAGTACATTGTTTTGTCTTCATAATAAAAATAATTATTATTATTTTTCACCATAAAATCAGTCTAAAGAAAACTTTTAATCACATTTTTAATTCATCATTATATGATTTTAGTCTAAAAGCGAAAGTAATTAAAAAAGGGTTTGGCTTTGGGAGTTTACCTTGTATTAGTCTTATTCCTATGAATAGGAAGTGAAAGATGAATAGGGTTTTGAGTGGCTATAATTCCCCCGAATCAACTTGTAGCTTTAGGACTACTCTTTGGTGACAAATGGCTTTGTCTTCTTAGTTAGATTAGAAAAAATAGGGATGACAGAGGGGTTGCTTAGAAACAAGAAAACCTAACATTTATATACTAGTTCCAGCTAGCTAAATAATAAAGTTTTAAACACCATGTACAATGATTTTTATTTCTTTTTCATACACATTTTATAAGTTTCACATCCTATTTAGGGTATGTTTGATAAAGGAAAAATAAAAATATAGAAGAGAAGGGAAAAAAAAATATGTGAAGATTATAAAAAAAAATTGAAAAACTAAATGTATTTCATACGAAAGAAATGAAATATAGATATTT